CAGGCAGGAAGGAGTTAGATAAAGCAGGTATGTTCTAAAACAACTGATGCTCATGTTTCTAAAGGCAAAACATGTTAAGGAAATAAGTGTTGGCTCTCCACTCCAAGACGTTCATTTCCAGTCAAATGAGAGATGGAGAAATGTTTGAAACTACGGTTGGACTACCATCACTGGGAAATTAACAGACCATGCCTCACACAGAGACAAATGTCCCATTTGTGAAATTGGTCCACTCATTAGCAATGCCTAGCTCTGGTCATCTCCAATTCACTTAGCTAATTCATGTGCATGTAAGTATTAATATCTAAAATGGAATGCATTTATGATGCGCTTTTAAGTGTTGTTAGTTTTTCAGTATTTAAAGCACATGAGCAGTCCTTCATTTCCATGCAGCACTTCTTGTTCTGTGTATCACTTTTATCCATCTCATGCAAATTCCCATCATGATGAAGAATTTAAGGTCCAGTGTCTTTTGTGGGGCTGACAACTCGAGTTTCAATCAGCACGTTATGATTGGTGGACAAAAGGTTTCTACTGGAGCTGCAGCTTCCCAAAAGTATCAAACAGTCTACATCACTGACACTATAAGGAATTCCCTTCATCCATTCTGAAACCAGACTTTATTTTACCACACTGCGTCAGCCTTTTTGCTCGTTTTATGTTAGCTAAATAACGACATGCAGTGAAATCGGAGGGTTTTTTTATTCACCGGTGTTCATCTAATTTAAAGACTTATTCAAGTCCTAATCCATTTTTTCCATTTTGTGCTGGCATTATCGCTGACTTAAGCACAAATCAAGAGTGACTTTGCAAAAAAAACAGTCTCCAATAATAAACACATGATACATTTCTTAATCTATTTAGGTAATCACATTACACCAATAGCCAAAGAGTGCTGAAAGGTTTAGAGGAGGTATAATCTGTGTGGTATTGAGTAATGACTTATCTTGTCCTTTTAGGGTGGTAGAGCATCAAATGCTTAATAATTTATCCTTGAGTTTCCATTTAATACTTTCAAGTTTTTATGGTTGGTGATTTTATTACCTCATATATTACACTGCGGGCTGCAAGTCAGCCACCCTCTTCTTTCTTCAGTGGTTGCAGTTTAAAAGTTTAAAAATGCATGACTTCGTTTTGGGGGTATAAAAAAGCGCTTCATTAACACTTTAAAACCTGAAAAACTATTATTATTTTTTGTTTGAAGTCTTTTTTTAGTCCTTATGAAAAATATGACAAAAAATGAACAGAAATTTGAATATTTATCATTTCTTACTGTGTAATAAGCCAAAATTATTGTTGTGTAGTCTTATAACTGATGTTATCAGGTATATCTTATCGTGTAAAACAGGGTTTTGAGCAAAGTTATTACCATTAAATGATGCAAAAGGTCTCAGACATAGGGTTAACTTGCTTGGCACATGTTCAAGGTTCACATTCACTGTTAAGAACTCATTTTCTAAAAGGAACTAAGTAGTTTATGTGTTTAACCAGGCTTATTGTCAGGTCTTCTTAGGTGTGAACTATGTTTCATTATTCAGTCTTGTGCATGAAACTGTGTGATATAATCTAAATTATGCTTTTAAATTTAAAGATTTGATTGCAAAACTATCACCCATTTAGCTCGTTAGGCTCTGAAAAATCTTGCTTTCGATAAACAGGGCGGGGGAAAAAATCCAGTTTCTTTTATATGATCTTCTTCTTCTTCCTTCTGCAGTTTTTTTCTGTGTAACCAATGTCAGGCCGTGAGAAATGAGGTGGTTTTCGCAGCCTCTCGCCTGTAGTCCGACTCCTGTTGGAGCTGTTGAATCTTTGCAGGCCAGCCAAACACTGAGCTCTGGGCATTTTTTTTTTAGAAGAACAAGGCTGAGGTGACAATGCCAGAACACGCTGAACCAGAGCAGCCGTTTTAGCGGGCGTCTGACAGCCGTGAGAGCAGAGGGGTTGAAACTCGGTGACTCTGGAGGGATTTTATGGCGCTCCATTGTGCATGTGAGAAAAATCTCTCTTTGAGGAATAATTCACTGTGGATCCAGGTCATCTTATCTGAGGCAGCAGAGGCTGTGATAATGTGATACTAACATTCCCCGAGGGGGAGTTGTGTGTTTTTTTCTTCACGGTCCTTCTTCGGAGAAGTGAGAATCCAAATAGCCACACAGTGAGATCCTTTTTTGGTTATTTAAATGAGAACTAAATGGAGTGCAAATGTTAGATATTCAATAGGAGACTACAAGTGTATGAGGGCATTTTTAATGTCAAACCTCTGAGAGCCCATCATGGAAATCTAAAATTTGAGGCTGGACTGGAGTGGATAGCACGAGAGAAACCATGACGATGAGATGGGACATAAGATGGGTGTCCATCTGACTTTTTTCTTTAGATATTTGAACTATGTTGTGATCTACTGTTAACTCCAAATCTTAAAACTTTGTCTGAGGAACGTGGGTCACAACACATCTGCTAACGTGCTTTTGCTTCTCACTATGATCGAGTGACAATAATCGCTTAGTTTGTTAATGTTGCAAGCCGAAGGTGGGAGAAAGTCAGCATCACATGTGTAATTCTGTTCATCTTGACAACTACCACAGACAGCTTTTATAGCCTTTTGGGGACATCTGTTATTTGTAGCGTCAGCTTTAACCTTTTGAAAATTATGTTATATAACAGATTCCTTGTATTTACTGTTAGACTGGGGAAATGGAAAGGTGCATATATATATATATATATATATATAT